ACATGGGGGACAGGGATGGGGACATGGGGACAGGGATGGGGACATGGCCAACATGCTGACTGGGTCCAGCTCCCGAGCGGGTGAGTGAGACCAGGACAGGGATGTGAACATGGGGACAGGGATGGGATGGGGACAGGATGACACAGGAGTGGGGACAGAAATGGGACAGCACCAGGACTGAGATGAGGATGGGGACAGGGATGGGATGGGGTGGGACAGTGGTGGGGACAGGATTGGGTATAGGCCTCAGGACAAGGACAGGAACAGGACAGGGGCAGTGTGGGATGGAAATAGGGATGGGAATGAGAACCCTGGGGATGGGGCTGTGGTGGCATGGGGATGGGGACAGGATGGCACAGGGACAGGGTGGGACAAGGACTTTGGGGGACCCTGCAGGGGAAAAGGAGGTGCAGGAGGGGTCTGGGGGCCTTTGGGAGGGGCTTGGGAGGATTCAGGGGGGTTCAGGGGATCTCAGGGCTTGGGGCATTAGGGGAGGCTTGAGGGGGTCTGGGGGGGCTCAGGGAGTTTGGGGGGCTCGGGAGGATCTGGGGGGCTTAAGGGGGTTGGGGAGGGCAGGGGGGCTCAGTGGATTTGAGGGGCTCTGTGTGACCCCTGTTCTGCCCCCACAGTGGTGTGTCCCCTGCCCTGCATGAACGGGGGCCAGTGCAGCTCCCGCTCCCACTGTCTGTGCCCCCCCAACTTCACCGGCCGCTTCTGCCAGGTCCCCGCGGGGGGGGCGTGGGGGGGGCCCCCCCCCGCCGCCTCCCCCCGCTCCCCCTGATGCCCCTCCCGAGCCCCCCCCGGGCTCCAAGGTCGCCGTTTACGCCGTCCAGGTCATTGCCGATGGCCCGGGGGGGGCAGCGGCCCCCCCCGAGCCTCCCCCTGGGGCAGCCCACGGCGGGGGGCACGGCGGGGGGCACGGGGGAGGACACGTCAGCCATGCCACCTTCGTGGTGCCCCTGGGGCCCGGGCACCACTCATCTGAAGGTACCGGGGGCTGGGGGGGCTCAGGGGTGTGGGAGGGGATCTTGGGGGGCAGGGAGTTCTAGGGGTCACATGTCTGGGAGTGCCCATACCAGGGGTCCTGGGGGGTCATACAGGTGCCTGTCAGGGGGTGCTGGGGGTCCCAGGTGTCAGTGCCCCCAGCGCAGATGCTGGGTTTGGGGCCCGGGAGATCCTGGGGTGCCCATGCTGGGGGGTCCCAGAGTGCCAGTGCTGTGTTTGGGGGTTCAGGGGGTCCCAGGTGCCCGTGCCAGGGGTCCTAGGGTGCCAGTGCTGGGTTTAGGGGCTCCCAGGGTGCTGGTGCGGGGTTTGGGGGTCCCAGGTGCTGCTGCCCCCAGCGCAGGTGCCGCCGCCGCTGGTGAACGTGCGGGTCCATCACCCCCCCGAGGCCTCGGTGCAGGTTCACCGGATCGAACCACAGCCCCCCGAGGGGGCCCCCCGGGGCAGTGGGGGGCTCCTGGCGCACCCTGCCCAGCCCCCCGCAGGCAGCAAACCCCCTGCACCCCCCCGACCCCACACCCACAAACCCCTGGGCCGCTGCTTCCAGGAGACCCTGCCCAAGCACTCGGTGAGTGGAGAGCTGGGGGTGCTTGGGGGGATTTGGGGTTCAGGGGGTTGTTGGGGATGCAAGGCGGTATTGAGGGGGGCTGGTGGGCATGGAGGGCTGGGAGATTTGGGGTTTCAGGGCTTGTCTGGCTGTGCAAGGGGGTTTTTTAGGGCTTCAGGGGTGTATTTGGGGATGCTGACCCCCCCACACCTGCCCAGTGCAGCAGTAACCCACTCCCCAGGCTCACCAAGCTCAAAGATTGCTGCTGAGAGTCCTCAGGGGTCCCTGGGAGTGCAGGGAGTGTCTGTTTGGGTGGGGGGGTGTCAGGGGTATTTAGGGTGTTGAACTCCCTACCCCAATTTTCCCCCCAGTGCGGCAGCAACCCCCTCCCGGGGCTCACCAAGCTCGAGGATTGTTGTGGCAGCATCGGCAGCGCTTGGGGCCAGAGCAAGTGCCACAAGTGCCCCCACCTGCAGGGTGAGTGTGGACCCCCTGAACCCCCCAACCCCACCTGCAGGGTGAGTGGAACCCCCCCTTCCACCCCAAGCCCCTCAAACCCCCAGATTCCCCTACCCAGGAATTCCCCCCACCCAGACATTGGAGACACCCCCCACCATCCTGGGAAAACCCAGGTGACCCCCGACCCAGGGAACCCTTCCTCACGTGTCCCCAGTAGGACCCTCCCCCAGGGACCCCCACCCCAGGCAGGGCCAGGCATCCAGGACCCCCCCTAAGGGCCCCCCCCCACCTCAGGGCCCCACAGGTCCCCCCCGCTCCAGGGGGGACCCAGATGTGTCCCCCCCCCCGTGTCCCCCCAGTGTGGGGGTGACGGGGGGTTCTGGGGGTGTTGCAGGGTCGGGGTCCCCGAAGGCGGCGCGGGGGGAGCGCGGGGGCGACTGCCCCCAGGGCTACAAACGGCTCAACAGCTCCCACTGCCAGGGTACGGGGGGGGGGGGGGGGGGG